AGGAGGGGGGGGGCACTTTAGGAAGATTTGGTGGGTCTATGGTGAGTGCGTTGTGGTGTCACGGGAGGGGGGGCACTTTAGGAAGATTTGGTGGGTCTATGGGGAGTGCGTTGTGGTGTCACAGGAGGAGGGGGGGGCACATTGGGAAGATTTGGTGGGTCTATGGGGAGTGCGTTGTGGTGGCACAGGAGGGGGGGGGCACTTTAGGAAGATTCGATGGGTCTATGTGGAGTACGTTGTGGTGTCACAGGGGGGGGCCACTTTGGGAAGATTTGGTAGGTCTATGGGGAGTGCGTTGTGGTGTCACAGGAGGAGGGGGGGGCACTTTAGGAAGATTTGGTGGGTCTATGGTGAGTGCGTTGTGGTGTCACAGGAGGGGGGGGGGGCACTTTAGGAAGATTTGGTGGGTCTATGGTGAGTGCGTTGTGGTGTCACAGGAGGGGGGGCACATTGGGAAGGTTTGGTGGGTCTATGGGGAGTGCGTTGTAGTGTCACAGGAGGGGGGGGGCACTTTAGGAAGATTTGGTGGGTCTATGGGGAGTGCGTTGTGGTGTCACAGGAGGGGGGGGGGCACTTTAGGAAGATTTGGTGGGTCTATGGTGAGTGCGTTGTGGTGTCACGGGAGGGGGGGCACTTTAGGAAGATTTGGTGGGTCTATGGGGAGTGCGTTGTGGTGTCACAGGAGGAGGGGGGGCACATTGGGAAGATTTGGTGGGTCTATGGGGAGTGCGTTGTGGTGGCACAGGAGGGGGGGGGCACTTTAGGAAGATTCGATGGGTCTATGTGGAGTACGTTGTGGTGTCACAGGGGGGGGGGCCACTTTGGGAAGATTTGGCGGCACAGAAGCAGTGTCTCCATCTTGGTGTTGGACTGCATGGAGCGCCATTTATGTGATTGTGGCTCATAACATTTGCAGATTGTGGGCGGAGTGTCTATGGGGGGGCGGAGTGACTATGGGGGGGGCGTGTCTATGGGGGGGGCGGAGTGACTATGGGAGGGCGTGTCTATGGGGGGGGGGGCGGAGTGACTATGGGAGGGCGTGTCTATGGGGGGGGCGGAGTGACTATGGGGGGGGGCGTGTCTATGGGGGGGGGCGGAGTGTCTAGGGGGCGTGTCTATGGGGGGGGCGGAGTGACTATGGGGGGCGGAGTGTCTATGGGGGGGCGGAGTGTCTATGGGGGGGCGGAGGCGCCCACTTATAGTTTCCCCTTCAGATTTCTAGCAGCATTTAGGTCAGGGGTGTCGCACTGTTGTCCCTCCAGCTGTTGGGAAACTACAGGTCCCATCATGCCTCTGCCTTTGAGAGTCGTGCTTGTATTGGTAAGTCTTGCAATGCCTCATGGGGATTTGAAGTTTGGCAACAGTTGGGACACCAGTGACACCCGATTTTTTTTTTTTTTGGGGGGGGAGGGGGAGTCCCCCCCCATCTCTCAAATAACAACTAAACCAAATACAAAAACACCCTGCGGATGCGTCCAGGAGCAGCATTTTCCAGAAAAGCGCTTGACGTGTGTTACCCCCAGGCGCATTCATCAACGTTCCGTGTGAACGAGGCCTCCAGCGGCTGTAGCTGGTTCTTGGAACACATCCCGTCTCTGCCCCCTGCACCACCTCTGCTGCCTATCCAGAGTCTCTGCCCATCTCCTCCAATTTAATTTCGGTGCTGAATGAATGTTGTGTACAGCCCATGCGCCCGCCCACCCCAGTAAATTCAAGGACCACCCCCGAGGCCTCCCAATACCTGATAAATTAGAGGCCTGTTCACAACACACCCCGCCCCCCACTCTGAATCACAGAGGACCGCAATGCGCCCTCCTGTACAAAGCACATGCTCTTCGATTTGAATGGCCTGAAATCCCACCAAACAGTGAATGCGCGACTTTCCACAATGCGCTGTAAGCAGATCGCAGGGTAGAAAAGCAGCATGTGATCGGGGGGGGGGGGGGGCGAGCAGACGCATCGCGTTTGTGACCTGCGGTGGGGGGTGGTAACTTTTTTTTTTTTACACCACCAGCAGATCGCAAATGTTGTGCATTTTGCAAGCAGTCAGACACGGTGCAAAGCGGCCCCAAAACTCGCTGGTCTCCGCGGTGTGAGCTGGTGAATGGGGGGCGAGGGGCGCGTAGAGTACAACAAACAGACCATATGTAATCCGGCGTGTAAAAAGGAGCTCCTCTGCTACTTCAGGTCATACAATGAAAAGGGAGGCACTCCGCTGCGACAGACACGCGTGTTAGGACCCCCGGAGCGGTTTTCCCATTACAATCACATTGGCGTAGTGTTTTGTTCTGCGTTTAGTCTGGGATCTGGCTCCTGTCGATGTAAACATCCCCCAGACACACGCGGGACCATCCCGTCCTGACAAGTGGAGGTTTATTCTGGCACAGGACGGGCCCCGCAGCTTTGAAGATCACACAGGAACACTCATCCCCATCGGCTCCGGGCGCACACACCTGACATCCAGCAACTATTCCTTCAATTCATTTAATTAAAACACCAAAAACAGAAACATCAGGAGAGGCCTGCGCTGTGCGCGGGGAGGTGGAGACGTTCCTCTCGAATCGGGACAGGGGGAACCTCCAACCCCAACACCAAAGAGATGAAGGGTCCTTTCACCCGAGCGCTGAGTATGTCCATTTTTTTATCTGTCTGTTTAGAGATAAAAACAGACCTCCGTGGATTTCTATGGACTTGCAGATGTAAACAGAGAAAAATCTTTTTACATCTGTTAATATCCGGATTTTTTTTTTTTTTTGAGCAGAAGAAAACCCTATTTTTCTTCTGAAAAAAAAAATCGGAACAGATCAAAACTGGATGTAAACGGATCAAAAACAGATGTAAATGGATCAAAAACAGATGTAAATGGATCAAAAACAGATGTAAATGGATATAAAAAAAAAAGATGAAAACCGGATGTAAATGGATGTAAAAACCGAATGTAAACCAGGGGTGTCCAAACTGTGGCCCTCCAGCTGTTGAAGAACTACAAGTCCCATCATGCCTCTGCCTCTTGGAGTCTTGCCTGTGGATTTCAGAGTCTTGTAAGGCCTCATGGGACTTGCAGTTCAACACTTGGAGGGCCAAAGTTTGGACACCCCTGATGTAAAACAGATGAAAAACAGATGGAAAACAGATGGAAAACTGGAAGTAAATGGATATAAAAACGGATGTAAACAAATGTAAAAACAGATGAAAAAAAGGTTGGAAATGGATGGAAAAACGAATGGAAAACCAACGAATAAAATGGATGTAAATGGATGAAAAAACTGATTTAAACGCATCCATTTTTTTTTCTTTGAAAAGACGTGACTGAACTGAATGAAAAAAAAAAAAAAAAAAAAAAAAAAAGGAACGCCCATGTGAAGGGACCCTAACGAAGTTTGTAGATCCTTGACTTTATACCTGAAAAAAAAAAGTTTTAATGTACTATCCTTTAAAGAAATGTGCATTTGTTATGTTAGGTTGCAGGAGCCTGGCTAGCATTGCAACAGCAGAGCAGTGGTGGCATGCAGACCTCCTGCAGACCTGTCAGTATATGTGCCTGGGTGTACGAGATGTAGGGGGTGTGTGGAGATGTACGGGGGATGTACAGGGTGTACGGTGGATGCAGATATACTGACAGGAAGAGAACATTGGAGATATTTGTTTATCCCATTATATATGTATTCTTTTCTCATGGGGGCACTCGGCCAGAGGGAGGGGCCAGGAGCACCAGTGGGGGACATGAGAAGTGGAAGATCGGGGCCGCTCTGTGCATTACAGAGCAGGTATGTACAACATGATTGTCATTTTATATATATATATAAAGGATAAAAAAAAAAAAAAAAAAGGTCTGCCTTTAATCACTTTAAATTCCAACCTGGGCTGGAATGCGTCAGCTGGGAGGTGATCATTAGAAACCAGTTGCTGGGGAGCACGAGCCGTCAGACACGGCTGTCAGTACACTTGTGTTTGCTGGAGAATGGGAGATCTGGGTAACGAAATGATGGAAGAAGATAAAGTCTAGAACATTTGCGCTGTAAGCGGCATCAATCACTTATCGCCAATCACACCCCGCCAATCACATCCCGCCAATCACATCCCGCCAATCACATCCCGCCAATCACATCCCACCAATCACATCCCACCAATCACATCCCACCAATCACATCCCGCCAATCACATCCCGCCAATCACATCCCGCCAATCACATCCCGCCAATCACATCCCACCAATCACATCCCGCCAATCACACCCCGCCAATCACATCTCGGAGGACTCGGGATGAGAAATGAAAGCTTTTATTACATTTTATCTCAAGCGAACAACAGCTGGTAACACGTTAACTGGCTGCCAGTACAGCCCACGGCGGGGGGGGGGGGGGGGGGGGAACCTTTCACCAGCGAGGAGAACGACGGCACAAACGGACACGAAGGTGCTGAATCGCCATGTGCTGGTCACCGATTCCGCACCGTGCGATACCGAGATTGTCACTAACATCTAAAAGTGATTGGACGCTCCCGACACATGACTGGTAGCCGCAGAGGGCCGCGAATGACGCCTCACCGGGGCCCTCTGCTGGCGGCCAGCATGTCACAAGAGACTGAATTGCAGACATGCATCTCTCTGTCTTTGGTGGGCCGGGGACATCATGCAGTTGGGGGGGGGGGGGGGAGGGGTGGTCGCGTTCCTCCGGCAGGGTCAGCCTCGCAGTCAAGTTTCGATATCCTTTTGGTTTCTTGCTAGCCGTTTCCCGCAACTTCAAAATTCATGCACACTAAAAAACACACAAGGTAACGGGCGCCGAAACCTCCACCACCCGACACTGCAGTTTGCAAAACTCAAGATAAAAAGTGTTCACAGAAGAGATTTCAGGGATTGTGAATGCAGATCCTCTCTCCCTCCCCCCCCCCCCCCCAATAAGCGCACGCACACAAAATGAGGGAAAAAAACACCGCAACACCCCGGGGAGGAGAAGAAAGCATCCACAGATAAAAGCAGCACAGGGCTCCACCGCAAACTCAGGGGATCGAGTTCAAAAGATCCTTCAGGAAGCCGTCAGGGTCACTGATCTCCGATAAAAGCCCTGCAAGACAAGAGAGAGAGAGATGAAAGCTGGCAGGAACCCCCCGGCACCGTCGCCTGCCGCTGGCGGGAACCCCCCGGCACCGTCGCCTGCCGCTGGCGGGAACCCCCCGGCACCGTCGCCTGCCGCTGGCGGGAACCCCCCGGCACCGTCGCCTGCCGCTGGCGGGAACCCCCCGGCACCGTCGCCTGCCGCTGGCGGGAACCCCCCGGCACCGTCGCCTGCCGCTGGCGGGAACCCCCCCACCGTCGCTGCCGCTGGCGGGAACCCCCGGCACCGTCGCCTGCCGCTGGCGGGAACCCCCCGGCACCGTCGCCTGCCGCTGGCGGGAACCCCCCGGCACCGTCGCCTGCCGCTGGGCGGGAACCCCCCGGCACCGTCGCCTGCCGCTGGCGGGAACCCCCCGGCACCGTCGCCTGCCGCTGGCGGGAACCCCCGGCACCGTCGCCTGCCGCTGGCGGGAACCCCCGGCACCGTCGCCTGCCGCTGGCGGGAACCCCCCGGCACCGTCGCCTGCCGCTGGCGGGAACCCCCCGGCACCGTCGCCTGCCGCTGGCGGGAAAACCCCCTGGCACCGTCGCCTGCCGCTGGCGGGAACCCCCCGGCACCGTCGCCTGCCGCTGGCGGGAAACCCCCCGGCACCGTCGCCTGCCGCTGGCGGGAACCCCCCGGCACCGTCGCCTGCCGCTGGCGGGAACCCCCGGCACCGTCGCCTGCCGCTGGCGGGAACCCCCCGCACCGTCGCCTGCCTGAACCCCCCGCAAACCAGTCGCCCCACCGCGCACCGATGCCGAAACGGAGAAACGGAGAGACGGGACAAACGGTCGCTTTTCATGTCCCATTAAGGGACAGAGACTTCGGCATGAAAGGGCAGCACCATATATATATATATATAAAAACAACATAAAACATATACACATATACATACATAATATACACAACACACTATATACTGTACACCACCCATACAAAATATACACACACAGATACATATATATACACACACACATATATATATATAATATACACACACACACAAATATATATATATACACACAAACACATAAATATATATATACTACACACAACACACAATAAAAAAATATATATACACACACAACACAAACAATAATCTATATAAATAAATATATACACACAAAAAAAAAAAAAAAAAAAAAAACAAAAAACACAAAAAACAAACAAAAAAAATATATATATTACACACACACACACACAAAATAAAAATATAAAAACAACACAAAAAAAAACACAAACACAAAAACACACAAAAAAATACACACACACACAAAAAAACACAAAACACACAAACACAAAAAACACAATAAAACAAAAAACATATAACAAAAACAAAAAATAAAACAACAACAAAAACAAAAACCCCACAACACAAAACAATATATACAAAAAAAACAAAATAAAAAACAATATATACAACACACACACAATTAAATATACAAAACACAACCACACACACTAAAAACAAACAACCACACAAAATAAAACACAAAACACAAACACACAATAAACACACAAACAAACACACACACACACCCACCAAAATAAAAACACAAAACACACAAACATATACCCCCCCACAAACAACAAAAACACAAAAAATAACAACACACAACAAAAACCCCAACCCAAATAATAAACCAAAACACACACACAAAAAAAACCACACAAAAAAAACAAAAAATAACAACAACCAAAAAACACAAAAAAACAAAACTAAAAAAAAAAAAAACAAACACACAAAAACAAAAACAAGCCCTCTGCTACAAATTAAAAAAAATCTATATAGAAGTAATTTTTTAGCAAAAATGCTGTTTTTTTACTTGTAAAAAGAGTAACCACTTAAGGACCAGGCCTTTTTATGACATTTCTGTCTGTCTGCTTCTTCCTCCTTCCTGTGCTGTCAGCCTTTTCCCCTGATACCAAGAGCAAAATGGTGACCAGAAGGAGCTCCAGCACACAGCCTGTGATTGACAGCTTCAGCTCTGTTGCTGTGTGAGGGGGGTGTATCCCTTCCCTCCAATCAGCTCTCCTCACTGAGCTCAGCAGTGTGTAATTTCACCTGACAGCTCAGACCAGCTTTGTCAATTTAGCACTTTGAATGGCTGTAGAGAAGGCTGCAGATAAACAGGTACAGCTTATGTAGGAGGATTTGTTTCATCACTGTATCACCTGAGGCAGTCACTTCACTGGGTATGTGGAGGTTAATGATTCCTTCTTGTCCCAGTTCTTGCCTGTACTCCCACCAATGGCGGTCTGTGATGACGGATACTCACCAGCCACATCGATGAACTCGAGAAACGACTCTCACCGGCATGAACTCTTCCTGGAAGGTTTTCAGGGCTTTGTCTGCAGCCTCGTAGATCGGCATGTCGCTGAGCCGAATGTAGTCTGCCAGG